CTCTCTCCCGCCAGTCCGCCCACTGGAACACGGCCTCCATGTGCCATCCAGGGTCAACGCCGCTCTGGGGACGCGTCAGGCCCAGCGCACAGCCTGGGCAGCTCGTCCTGCCAGCTGAGCACGGGTGCCTCAAGGGGTGCGGCCCTCCCAGAAGGAAGGTGAGTCTCCCTGGAGCCTCTGACGACAGCGAAGTGGCTGGGCGCTCTCCGGGGAGTGGGCGCGGCACCCAAGAAGGGTTTCTTACAGTTCCAAGAGAGGACCCCAGCCACAGTCACTCCAGAGCCCACACGGGGCTTGGAGGAGGCTCTGGAAAAGGAGGGATGGGGAGTGTGCAGAACAGGGGGCGGAGGCTGGCAGGAGCCGAGGGAGGGCTCGGTCGGGTGCGAAGAGTGCCTGGGAGGAGCTAGAGTGGGGAGGGGGTGCGGTGGCGGGGAGAGAAGAGGCGGAGCTGGGGGACCCGACCGCTAAAGCGGAAAGGGGGATTCCAGGCAGGGGGAGTGTGGCCAGGCAGTGCGAGAGGGCGGCAGCGGCCAAGCTGATATTCGCGACCCCGGGTGGGGGCGAGGCAACTTCTGCCCTCAGTCCCCACAAGCTCCCGGCCGGGATTCGCTGCAGAGAAATTCTGCGGAGGGGCCGGTGGGTCAGAGCCAGGTCAGGCAGTTGCTGAGCCTTCCCCTCCCCTCCCGGCGGGGTGTGTGTGCAAGGGGCCAGGGGGCGGAGTCGGAGAAAGGGTTGGGGGTGTCCGTGTCCAGCGCTCGTCCGGATGCCGCTCCACAATCCAGCTGCGAGAACAGATGGACTCAGCGGCGGCTCACCTCGGGGGCTTCCTGCCCGCTGTGCGCCGAGGTCCAGGCTGAGGCGGAGATCGCGAGCCTCCGGCTCCCGCCTCTCTCGAGGGGCCGCGAGGAACAGGCTGCCGCGCCTCCCTCCCCAGGAGGAGAAGAGTGGGCGCTGACCCCGCGGGTCCTAGAACCGCGGGCGGGGGGCGGGCAGGGGGAGGGCAGAGGGTCGGCTCCGGGCGCGGAACACCCATCCCAGGGGCTGGTTCAGGACTTCCGCACCGAGACCCCTTCCTGGGCCTTCAGCCCTGGAGCATCTGGGGAGCGGACCCCTGTCCTGCCACGCCCCGCCCCCGGCCCCCGCCCCGCCGACGTCGCATTAGCATGAGCGACGCAAGTGGCCCGGGCACCACTCGGGGGCTGGGACTCGCCGCGTCACAGCCCCGAGTGGAAGGGAAAAAAAAAAGAGGAGGCGGCGGAGGAGGCAAGAGCCGACGCGAGGGGAGGGGAGCGCGGCGGCGGGGCTAACGGGCGGGCAACCGGGCGGGCGGCAACAGCATGCCCCTCTGCCAGCGCGGGCGGCCTCTCAGCGCGGTGGGGGCTGCTCTAGGCGCGCTCAGGGCACAGTGCGCCCAGTCTCCGGCCCCGGCCCCTCGTCGCGCCCGCCTTCCCGGCCGCCCCTGAGCCCAGCAGCCGCGGGTCCCGGGAACCGCTAAGAGCAGCGGCAACGCCTAGCCGGACGGAGTCCTTTCCTTTGCCGGGACGCTGGGCCATGAGCCCCGCGGCCACCTGAGGCACGGGGGGTCTGCTCGGCCAGGACCGCCTCCCCGAAGTACCGTGCCCTCGCCTCTGCACTGCGGGACGCCAGCGCTCGGCCCTGGCGGAGGCGTCCTCGGAAGAGCATCGGGGTGGGGGCATGGAACCCGCGGAACCTGCGGGCCAGGCCCGGGCGGCGGCCACCAAGCTGTCGGAGGCGGTGGGCTCGGCGCTGCGGGAGCCCCGGCGGCAGAGGCGCCTGCTGCTGGTCATCGTGTGCGTGGCTCTGTTACTGGACAACATGCTGTACATGGTCATCGTGCCCATCGTGCCCGACTACATCGCCCACATGCGCGGGGGCGGAGAGGGCCCCACCCGGACCCCCGAGGTGTGGGAGCCCACCCCGCCGCTGCCCACTCCGGCCAATGCCAGCGCCTACGCGGCCAACACCTCGGCGTCCCCGACGGCTGCGCGGCCAGCGGGCTCAGCCCTTCGGCCCCGCTACCCTACGGAGAGCGAAGACGTGAAGATCGGGGTGCTGTTTGCTTCCAAGGCCATCCTGCAGCTGCTAGTGAACCCCTTGAGCGGGCCCTTCATCGACCGCATGAGCTACGACGTGCCGCTGCTCATCGGCCTGGGCGTCATGTTCGCCTCTACGGTCATGTTCGCCTTCGCCGAGGACTACGCCACGCTGTTCGCCGCGCGCAGCCTGCAGGGCCTAGGCTCAGCCTTCGCTGACACGTCTGGCATAGCCATGATCGCCGACAAGTACCCGGAGGAGCCGGAGCGCAGTCGTGCCCTGGGCGTGGCTCTGGCCTTCATTAGCTTCGGAAGCCTGGTGGCCCCGCCCTTCGGGGGTATTCTCTACGAGTTCGCCGGCAAGCGCGTGCCCTTCTTGGTGCTAGCTGCCGTGTCGTTCTTTGACGCATTGTTGCTGCTGGCGGTGGCCAAACCCTTCTCAGCGGCTGCACGGGCTCGGGCCAACCTGCCAGTGGGCACTCCCATCCACCGCCTCATGCTGGACCCCTACATTGCCGTGGTGGCCGGTGCGCTCACCACCTGTAATATTCCCCTCGCCTTCCTAGAGCCCACCATTGCCACGTGGATGAAGCATACGATGGCGGCTTCCGAGTGGGAGATGGGCATGGCCTGGCTGCCGGCCTTCGTGCCTCATGTGCTGGGCGTCTACCTCACCGTGCGCCTGGCGGCGCGCTACCCACACCTGCAGTGGTTGTATGGCGCGCTAGGGCTGGCTGTGATCGGCGCCAGCTCGTGCATCGTGCCCGCCTGCCGCTCCTTCGCGCCGCTAGTGGTCTCGCTCTGCGGCCTCTGTTTTGGCATAGCCCTAGTCGACACAGCACTGCTGCCCACGCTCGCCTTCTTGGTGGACGTGCGCCACGTCTCAGTGTATGGCAGCGTCTATGCCATCGCCGACATCTCCTATTCTGTGGCCTACGCGCTCGGGCCCATAGTGGCGGGCCACATTGTGCACTCTCTGGGCTTTGAGCAGCTCAGCCTTGGCATGGGTCTGGCCAACCTGCTCTATGCTCCCGTTTTGCTGCTGCTCCGCAACGTGGGTCTCCTGACGCGCTCCCGGTCCGAGCGCGATGTGCTGCTTGATGAGCCACCGCAAGGTCTGTACGATGCGGTGCGACTGCGTGAGCGTCCTGTGTCTGGCCAGGACGGCGAGCCTCGCAGCCCGCCTGGCCCTTTTGACGAGTGCGAGGACGACTACAATTACTACTACACCCGCAGCTAGCATCCCCACTCCTCCTCCAGCCCACCCACCCGCCTTGGGTCAAGGCGGCTGCTCTGCAAGCCCACGGGCCAGCTCTGGCTCAGGGTCCACCTCCTCCAGCCAGTACCCCAACCCCTCCTCAACCTTGACTTCTGCCCGAATCCCCTCCCTGTGACCCATTCCATATCCCTTTCTCTCTTGTCCAGTGGGGCTTGGAGCACCGAGGCAAGCGAAGCCATCGCGCTCCTTGCAGTGGTGATGAGGACCCCGAGTCCCCATCTGCGGCTCCCCTGTGTAGAGCCTGCATCTGTCTGTCCTTCCTTCCATTGCTCTCAGTGCCAAACTTGGGCCGCTGCACCGCGGTGCCTCCGCCCAAATCAATAAACCGTGTCTGTCCCAGGAGGCCGAGTCTCTTTACTGGTGGGGGGTGCGTGGTGGGGGGCAGGGCCAGAGCAGAGGGGAGGGTGAACTGCGTCTCCAAGTCCCAAACCAGGCCTGAGCCAAACTAACAAGCAGGTGCCTGTAGCTCTTTTTCTACCTGGAAAAGGGAATAGGAAGGAAGCAAACCCAACAAAGGCTGTCACCCACGATCACCAAGGAGCACCACGCTACCGTGGGCCCAGGACAGATCCTCCTTTCCAGGCCCAGCGCAGAGCCCGGGGGTGCCGCCCGGAGTAGCCTGAGGACCCGCTCCAGCTGGGCACGCCAGGCCCCGCCCTTTGAGGACACGCCTCAAACCATCCACAGAACTCTGAGGCGCCTGGGCTGAGCTTCCCTTCAGACCAGAATCCCCGCCCCGTTCAGGCTTTGAGAAAGGAGTAGGAGCCGAGCATTCCAGCAGAGGAAGAAAAACGGCCCATCTTTTAGAGTCTGACCTCTGGAAATGTGTGTATGATGTGATATGTGTGTGTTTATTAGAGAACTAGGCTCTGTCCTAGGAGGAGTTGGGGAGCCGTGGTCGGTGTTTGCTGTGTCCCTGTCAGTTCTGAGGGTCTGAGTCTTGAAGGGAGAGATGCGAGTGTGCGACATGGTGCCAACCCCCACTGCCACCCTATCCTGAGTGGGAGCAGCGGCCCAGGACTGTCAGGAAAGTTTCCCATCCTTAGTCCCAGCCCTGAGAGCCTCAGGCCAGCGTTTGCGCAACACTCCCTGTTCCGAAGACCGTAGTCTGATGATGGAGGCAGAGTCTTCCCATCCCAGCGTGAAGACGCTGCAGGTCAGGGTCGCCTGTGTGTTTGCTGCCTCTGTGGGGGTCTGCTCTGCTGTTGTGCGCATGTCTGTCCTCGATCTGCCAGTCGGGCTGTGTGTGCCTGGGCGGAGTCTGCCTTTGTCAGTCTGTCTGTGCTGTTTGTGTGTGGGGGTCTCTATCTGGGGTGGGGGATGCTTTGGTCTGAAAGGAAAGTCTGCCTCCTACCGCAGTCCTTAAGCATCCCCATGTCTGCCATTAGAATTGTCCCAAGTCTGTAGCACCCACCTCTGCTCCCCACCCATAGAGCCAGCAGGAATTGGATGGTAACAGAAAGGGAAGTCCTGCATGAACATTGAACCCAGTTATTGTTTCTTCTTATTATTTTGAAAGACGGTGTAGTAGGGTTTGAGACTGGTCTGGATGGTGGGGAGAGGAGGGCAGAGAGCAGAGACTTCCTCAGACCCAACCCTCTCCAGGACTCTGAGCAGCAGCACCCCAGGGCTAGAATAATGGGGTTGGGGAAGTGCGGTGACTGGGGAATGGTGAGCTAGGGGCAGGGGTCGTGGGCGGGACAGTGTTCTGGACCCCTTCTAGAGCCTAAATTTGTTGCTCTAGTTCCTCCAGGAAGCCCTCCAGGTAGATTCTGGGGGCCGGGAGCTGGGATCCCTGGGCGGGAAGCAGGGGAAGGGATGGGGGACTGAGGACCGCGAAGAAGAGAGAAGAAGGGGGTCTTGGGGGAGGGAGGAAATGCAAGAGAGAGGAGGGAGGAGGAACAAGAGGAAGGAGAGAAGTGCGGCCAGCTTGCTTTCTCCAGTCGGGTGGCCGCGGGGACCTGGGCGACGTCGGAGGCCCTGCCCAGAACCCAGGCGGCAGCCCCCACCCTCGCGCTGCGACACGCCCCCCACCCCTTCCGGCTCACACCCCCGCCCACACTCCTGAGTGGTGCGGTGCAGCGGCGGCCAAGGCAGCAGAGCCGAGGAGAGCAGGTGAGAAGCAGGGCTGGGCTGGGCTGGCGGAGCGCGGTGCCGGGAGCAAGGGCGGCGGTCGGGGGCTCTATCCAGGGACAGCATCGGGGCCGAGAGGCCCAAGGACTCGTGGAGTCCTCCGAGTCCTGCGCAGCAGCGGCCGTCGGGGGTCAGCTGGGAAGCTGCAGGATTGCACTGCTTCTTTGCCTGGTCTTGGGGAGGCTTGACCATCAGGGCTTCGGGACTCCAAGCGCATGTTCTCACTTCACTTGGCCCAGCATCTGCTAAGCACTTTCTGTGTCTAGTCGGAGGGTCCGCGGGTCTGACCCAACTCGCCTGAATTGCTGGTTCGCAACCGCCTCTCCCGGGAGCAGGGGGTGGGGAAGAAGGATCAGTCGCTGGTGGCAAGTCTGAGCCAGGACATAGCCGATGACAGCCTGTGATGACCGGCCAGACTGGGGTTGGACCTTCCGGGCAGAGCAGGCAGCCCTTGGAAAGCCAGGCTGGCAGGATCATGGGTGCGAGGCACAAAACAGACAGACAGACATATTCACACATACACCCTCTAGGCATCCGCCCAGTAGTGATGCAGGAAGAGGAGCTGGCAGGTGGGACCACCAGGAAACCATCCCACCCAGCTCTGCCCTCTTCTTCAAGCTCAAGGTCCCTGAGGCCTGACTAGTGTCTCCCAAATGTGGGGGTGGGAGGGTCCGGGCCAGAGCAAAAGGAGGCATTGGCTGCATTGTCTGCAGGTCCTTTTCCAACCTGACCTTGTCCTTGCTGTCCCCTCAAAAGACTGCCATGCTCTGGTGAATGCTCACCAGGATGCCACCTCTTTCACTTTGCAGTTGGGGGCAGCCCCTATGAACCCACAGCACTGGGAGGCCTGGGAACCAGCCAGTCGAGAGTGTCCCTGCACTGTGCCAGCAAGGGCTTTACATTCTTTGCCCAGCACTGCAAGGCAGCCCCAGGCTTCTCCATCTTTGGGCCTGGTTCATCCATCTTTCTCGACTCTCTGTTCCTGGCAACAACCCTGCCATGTGCCCATACGTGGACCATGCTTGCCTCTGGGTAGGGGTGGTGTTGGGCGGGGAGAGGGGTGAGGAAATGAGCTAAACATCAGCTTTAGACTTGAGAGAGAATAGAGTGTGGGCTGGTGGAAAACATCAGTATGTGCCTGTGGAGGCTTAGGTTCAGGGGGATCTCAGAGGATAGCAATTGTGACCCACAGCCTAATAATAACAGTCTTTGCCCTCTTGGCCTGGCTCACTTCTACTGTACCTTCAAAATTAATCTGCCTCTCCCCAGACTAAGGCTGGTGACCCCTAGGGGCCCTGGCTGCCCTGCCTCCCTACATACCTCCCTGGGCACTCCCATGGCATCTACACTGGCAGCCTGCAGACCCGAGACTGCCTAGGTCACAGTCCCTCCAGCAGGCCCAGAGTCTCCCTGCCCTGGCCACAGGCCAGGCTCCCAATTAGCCCAGATGCATCCTAGAGCACAGGGCCTTAAAGGCCTCCATTCACCCACACATGCATTTGTTTCCCTCAGTCAACCAACTGAGGAAATTCACCCTACTCCACACCAGAGATGTGGCCAGGCCCCAGAGATGAAGCCCTGAGCACAGTAGGTATGGTCTTACCCTTCAGAAGCTAGTGGGAAAGAGAGAGCTTGATCAGCAAAGCACTTATCTATTGGATTCCAGGCAGGAACAAAACCAGCACTCCGCCAGCAACCCCTGGTGGATTTGGATTGCCCTGGGGTGGTCAGCTGGCCTTGGGTGGCAACAGCCCCATGAGAGCAGACCCTCACTTTAGGAACCACTGTCTCCCATATGGGGGCCCAGAGAGAACACTGTGGTCAGCACACACAGCTGGAACTCGAGACTGGGGCCAGGCCTACAATGAGACCCCTATATACAACTGTCAGGCTCTGGCCTCCTCATGGAGCTGGGGTAGGGGTCTGTTGGTGGGAGGTGGAGGGTTTGTGATAGGTCTATGTGGCTGCTGTGTTGATGCTTCTCATTTCTTGGTCCCCAGGTCCACACTCTGCATCCCTGGATCAGGACTCACCAAGACACCCATCCTGGAAAAGGTCCCCCATAACATGGCAGCAAAAACTCCCAGCAGTGAGGAAGAGTCTGTGAGTGACTTTTGGAGTCCTATCTCAACCCTGCTTTCCCCACCCACATGCCCTTGCTTGCAGAACAGTCCTGACTGAGACTGGCCCCTAGCATTTGCCTGGCCCCAGCCCTGTCCTCTACTGGCACGAGGCCCAGGCTACAGCCCCGCCCCCAGCTTGCTGAGGATCCCAGAAGGGCCTGGAGGGGCTGAGATGGGCCTCAGGGTGCCAAGGGAATGCTAAGAGCTAAACTTCCAAATCCCTGGGCCAGGCTAGGCACTATCTTTCCTTTCAGGGCCTCTCTTCATCCCAGCTTCTACTTCTGATAGCTTTGAGCCCAGTGATTTTGCCTTAGGGTGGGGCTGAATTCCTACTCCAAGCCCCTCAAGTCCCAGCTCCAGCTGCTGTCTCTAGTTCAGCCTTGGAGCCTTAGGCACTATGTTCTCCACTGGCCTGAGACAATGCCTTCCTCCCTGGGCAGGCATCCTCCCTCCCACCCCAGCCAGCCTTCGGGTGGCAGAGCAACACACCTGATTTCAGGTTGCTGCATGTGTTTCCCCTTTCCCACACTTGTCTTTTTGCCACTCCTCTTCCCTGTTCCCCCTTCCCCAAGCCCTCATTTGAAACCCTGAACAGAATTTTCTGGCTTCTCCCCAAGAAGCTGCTCACTCCATTGCCCTGACCTCTGCAGCTGACAAACATCTATTGTCACCTCTGGTCCACTGGCATGCTTCTCCACCCACCCCATTGGGCTGTGGCTTCCTTAAGAGCAGGCTCTGTTTCTCCATCGTCTCTCAGTTCAGCCCAGGATCTGACTCCCATGAACTGCCCAGGAAATACGGAGTTTTGGAGTATTACCTGAGACTCCCAGGTCCAAAGACCCTCTTAGTACAGGGCTAGAAGTCTGGGAGAGTCTGGGGAGGATCCCTGGGGGGGGGCGCTGAGATGTCTGAGCTGCGATTTCCTGCTTTCTTTTTACCCACTGCTGATTCCCTGTTAGCCAGGCTAAGTCACAGTGCACTGTCAGAGCCTAGAAGAAGGCGGGCAGTGTCTGGTAGAGGCTCTAGCCAGACTTGTGGGCCCTTTTGGCCAGGCCATTAACTGGGCTGGGCTTTCTGTAGGTGCTCACCCACCCACCCACCCATCACACAGACCACCCCCCGCCGCAAGAGATGGAACAACCAGAACAGCTGGGTTGGGGGCCCAGACCTGGCTCGCTGGGGTTGAGCAGGGCAGCCTGGGATGCTGCCCAGATCTGTCCTCGCATCATTCCCCAGGGCAGAAGCAGCCCGTAGTTGGCACTGACACCCCACCCCTACCAGAGAAGTGAACCCTAGAGGCAGGATCAGACAGGCAGAGGCCGCCATTCATCCATCAGCAGCAGGGGCAGAGAAGGAGGTGCTTTTAAGGGGCCCCTTCACTCTGCAGCCTACGGGGAGGAACCTTTACTGTCTCATGGAAACTCATCACTGCACAGAGGAGAAGCCCCTGAAGGAAGGTGCCTCACTGTCTACCAGCGTGTCCCAGGAACCATGTTGCAGAATTCTGGTCATTAGGGCAGCACTGAATTATGTCTCTCATCCAAAGCCATCTTTCATCCTTCCAAATCTCTCCAGGTCTGCCTCCCGCCCCTCAGGTCTGGAGATCAGTTAGATTCTGGAGCCCCAGCTGAGAACAGTTTATAAATTAAGAGTGACTAGCAGCCAACAATATCAGTAATAGGACTATTTCATCTTAGATCCATCCTTCATGGCTTAAAAGCACTTTCACATGCATTAGGTCTTTAATCCTATGAGAGGGAGGGCTCACTACCCCCATTTTACAGGAGAAGAAATTGGACAATTTAAGCAATATTATTATAAGTTCTGCCTTCCTATTGTCAGTGGCCAAGTGAGGGACAAGAAGAGGAAAGGAATGGAAAAGGGAGTGAAAGGGAAGGGAGAGAACGACCCAGGAGAAAGAAGCAGAGTGGACATGGAAGACTGATTTTAGCTCCTTGTCTGCCATCAGATTTGTATGTTACGTTGGACTAGCTACTCCACTCTCTGGGACTCAGTTTCCTCATAAATAAATGGGAAGTCACAAAATTGAAGCCACACAGAAGCCTTCTGTGGTGAAAGCTGCTAGTAAACTGAGAGGCACAGCATGCGTATAGGAGGGCGGAGTCGGGGGGGTTCTTCCCAGGCTCTAGCCACACTTTGGGGCCCCCAAAGAGTATGAGTTTCCACTTGGGAATTCTTCTGGCAGTATAAGACAGCAAGGTCGTAACATTTTAGATGTGCCTATCCGAGGCCAGTTGTTTCCCCCATTTAATTCTCTCTGTGTTCCTCTCAGGTAGGAATTATTATTTATGTCCTATGGATGAGGAGCAGAGGCTTGGAGAGATTCGGAGAGGAAGGACATTCACTGCATCCCCCCCACTGCCCCTAACACCCACATGAAACAAAATCCCCTGCCTGGGTTTTGTAAGTAGGAGGGACTTATAAGAAGCTCAGGGCATGAATCATCTTCTGAGGAAACCTCTTGTAGGATTCTAGTCATTAGGGCAGCACTGAATTGTCTCTCATCCAAAACCATCTTTTATCCTTCCAAATCTCTCCTTAAGAGTGCCCCCTTCAGGTCCAGAGATCAATCAGATTCTGGAGCCCCAGCTGGGAACAATCCTAAATTAAGAGTCACCAGTAGCCAACAATATCAATAACAGGACTATTTCATCTTAGATCCATCCTTTGTGGCTTAAAAGCCCTTTCATATCTATTATCTGTTTGTTCCTATGAGAGATAGGGGTTACTACTCCCATTCTACAGAGGAAGAAACTGAGGCACAGAGGGAGGGTGACTTGCCCAAGTTTGCAGAGCTGGTCAGTGGCAGGGTCAGGGTACAAACCCAGGTCTGTCTGGTGCCAATATCACCATATTTTTCTCTACACTTTACCCCTTTCTGGGGACAGAGCACAGTGAGGTCAGGGACCAAACCAAAACTTCCTAAATTCATAATTTTGCTGAGCTGAGCTCTAGAAATGGACAGGCCCCAGGGAAGAGAACAACACAGGGGCAGAACGACACAGATACTAGGGACCAACCTGGAGACAGGCATGGGGCGCACATATGAGAGGCACAATGCCTATGAACCCTCTTCTCCAGGGGCTGCCCAAACTGCCCGTGCCCCCCCTGCGGCAGACCCTGGCCACGTACCTGCAGTGCATGCGACACCTGGTGCCTGAGGAGAAGTTCAGGAAGAGCCAGGCCATTGTGCAGCGGTTTGGGGCCCCTGGTGGCCTCGGTGAGACCCTGCAGCAGAAACTGTTGGAGCGGCAGGAGAAGACAGCCAACTGGGTAAGAGGGGCAGACAAGGGACCCATAGAAGAGGGGCAGGAGGCAGACCTGGAGACAGAGGGAATTCGGTGAGAGGCAGGTATGGGACAAAGACAGGGCAGAAGGAGAGACGAGGGACAAGGATGGAGGATAGGGGTGGGAACAGGCAGGTGGCATGGATTGGAGGACAGGAAGGGACAAGGATGGGAAACAAACAAGATGAGGAACGGGACATATGGATAGAGAAAGAGGAGGACAAATCGGGGACAGGAATAGGGGACAGATGGGGACAGAGATCGCATCAGGAAAGAAGAGAGGGTGAAAGGCAGGAAGGAGACACCTATAAGGACAGGCAGAGGACAGTGATGTAGCACCAAGCCACCAGGATGGGGACTGGGAAAGAAGAAAGGAGACAGGAGGGCGCAAAGGTGAAGGACAGGCCTGGTGGACTGGGAAGCTCCTGGCACATACCTGGGGCTTAGCATATATTTGTGGAATGAATGAATTAATGCTCTGGTGAAGTGTCCTGATTTTCTCTTGGGGCTGTCAGGATAGGACTGTTTGGAGGGATGTGACAGCCTTTCCTGCCCTCCCTGGCAGGTGTCTGAGTACTGGCTGAATGACATGTATCTCAACAACCGCCTGGCCCTGCCTGTCAACTCCAGCCCCGCCGTGATCTTTGCTCGGCAGCACTTCCCTGGCACCGACGACCAGCTGAGGTGAGGCCTTGGTGCTCCTAGCTCATAACCTGGGGACCCACCCAAGGCAGGGGCCCTTACCCCAGCGCCAGCAAAGAAAGGCTGAAGCTGGAGCCTCAGCTGAGCTTCCTGTGGCCAAATGCCCTGAGACAGTGGACGTCCAGCCCATCAGGTGGGGAGCAAGGTTAGGTGTGGCTGCACTCGAGTGACAATCACACGATCAGCCTTAGTCTGTATTTATCTTGCAGTGGAATGGGCACTCATGGAGGTCATGGGTCCAAATATCCCCACAGCCTCCACCTGGCTGAGGCCCCGAGAGGAGGCGTGTGGCCCTGGACCACACCAGTACTTGTCCCTGGGAAACACTGCCCCAGGCTGTCTGAGAGGGCCTCTGCTTCCCTCCAGAGCTTGCAGCTCTAAACTGAGGCCCCAGAAGGCTGGAAACAATTCCTCCCTGCCAGCAGCCAGAGCCTGTGCCATCTGCTGTAATTTCAGAGCTCACTGAGCCGTTGGAAGGGCCTCTGGCCGCTGATGACGATGGAGGATGGGGGCAGGGAGAAAGGGTTTCCCTTCTGGAGTCTCTCAGAGTCTGGTCTTAAGACCTGAGTGGGACAAATGGTGGGGACAGTTTAGAGGGAGGGCAGAGGGCAGGCCAAAGTGGCCCAAGGGCAAGAGGCAGGGCCCACCTCACCTCTGGGCCGGGCTTAGCCACGCTAGGAAGACCTCCCCATCCCATCCTACCAGCTGGCCAGCCTTTCCTCCCACTGTAGCTGGGGTCTCCCCAGGGAAGAAGGAAGGTGTGGACGGATGAATGACTTCTGAAAACAGTTCTCACAACTGCATCTGAGGAGTATTTTCATCCTGGTGCAATTAAGCCAGGCCCAGCATCCCAGGATGACAGTTCCCGCTGCTCGTTTCTCCAGTGCCTTTCCCCAAGCACTCAATTTTCTTTTCCTTAGTACTGGGGGGTAGGGGGAAAGGGACCAAATTACTGGCTTTTCCCAGGAGAACATTTCCACAAGACCAGCAGTCCTGTCCTGTCCAGCCCCGTCCAGCCCCAGGGCTGGCCTTTCCAAGGAAGAACTCCACCCTTCACCCTTCGTCCCTTCTGACCTGCCCTGTGGCCTCTCCTGGCTTCCATCTCCCTCTCTGCTCCCTCTCCTCTTCAAGGTGATTCCAGCTTCCTCTCCTCTCCCCAAGAGCTGCTCCACCCCCAATTCTCACCAAAGGACCATTTTGAATCCAAGGCTTGTGGTGGGCTCACGGCACTGGGCTGGAGGGCAGGAACCACATCTGATTAGTGCAGGAGCCACATCTGATTAGTGCACACAAGCCGGCATACAATGGGGGATCATAGAGTTTGGCAGCGGGGAGGAGGGAGAGAGAAGGGAGGGAAGAGGAAGGAGATGGAAGGGAAATGGAAGGAGGGAGGGGAGGCAGAATGGAAGGAGGGAGGAAGGGAGGGAGGAAGCCAGGCCCTGGGAGGAAAGGCTCAGGCCTCCCTTCTCCCTGCAGGTTTGCAGCCAGCCTCATCTCTGGTGTACTCAGCTACAAGGCCCTGCTGGACAGGTAGGACTGGGAGGGTGGTGCCCTGTTCCAGCACAGTCTGCCTATGCGTCCATCTCCCTTGCAGGGACCTTGTCTTTTTCCAACTCTATATTCCCATTCCTGGCTCCTGGCACGGAGCAGGTGTCCCTGCCCTCACCCACTCCCCCACCATCAGGATGACCTTTAGCCCAGCTGGCCTGACTGTAAACTGTTCCTTTTCCTGGGGCAAGCACTATCCTTCCTTGATCTTTTAAAAATGCCCCCTCCCTCCACATATATGTGCACAGGTGGAGTGAATTCATTTGAAGCTGGTGAACACATAGGAAGGCGGGGAAGAAACAGTTGTTAGAGTAAGGTGATGGGAGTCCTGATTGCCACTTGGAGGAATGGTGTCTCCAGCCAGAGCCTCTGTGTCCTCAATCCCCCCAAGTTCAGTGGACACGAGGCTGTTCTGACAGATGGAGAGGGCTGCTAAAGCACTGCAGGCTCTCTTTGATTTTAGGAGGAAAGTCCCTCTCCTGGCCAAGCTTAGGAGAGCAGGAGGGTATCTGAGAGCAGCAGGGAGAGTAAGAGGATCTGGAGGACCCAAGTCTCTCAAGGTACAGACTATAAGGGCATTAGAAGCTGGAAGGAGACAGAGAGGCCCAAAGAAGCATCCCTTGCACAGATGAGGAAGCTGCAACTCAGAGAGGTTAAGTAACTCATCCATGGTCACACAGCTGGGTGGTGGCAGAGCAAGGAGGGGACAAGGGGCAAACTTCACTCTCTGTTCAACTTGACTCAACTCAGTCTTTACCTAGCCTTGGGACAGAGGCTCAGACCCACAGCCCCTCCAGGGTAGGGCTACTCCCTCTGGAGAGGGGCAGGCAGGGCTCCCAGACTCTCAGGGTGGAGCAGCTCAGGCTGTCCAGGGCATTTCTGCACCACACGCTCTTGGGTGCTCTGTTCACTCCTCTCTAAATGCCATGGGTCACTAGGCCCTGGACTGCTGTCTCCTCATGGTGTGTCTTCGGTCTCTCCCTTCCTCGTGGACAGTGCTCCATTTCCTCCCAGAACTCGCCCCTCCAGCTCACTATCCTGCCTGTTTTCAAATAGCCTTGTCTCGCTGGGCCTGGGGACTTGGTGCCCATTCATCACTGACTGCCCCCACAAGACTTCACTTTCCTTCTGATCCCAGACTTCACATTTTTGTGTGCACACTCACACAAACACGAATACCCATGCATATCCACATGGAGGTTCCCATGTCCAATGACTGAAAAGGACTTAAGACTGGAACATTTTCCTGAGTGCCTGTTTTGAACCCTTAATTAATTAATTAATTAATTAATTAATTCACTTATTCACTTTGCAATGTAGTTATGCTGGGAAGATGAAGAGAAATAAGGCCTCATCCTCCCTTCAAAATGTCCTTAAGCTATTGGGCAAGACAGTCACATAAACAGACACAAAATACAGCTGTGTCCCTTCCCCTGAGTCCCACACTCGCTCATCCAAGCCCCAACCATCCCCACTGGGGTGTCTCTCAGTCATTACAAATGAGCCAAGAGAGCTTTGCCTCTCCCTCCCAGCTCCCCAACTCCTCCCATACCTTGTTGAGCCATCTCTGTAAGTGCACTAGCGCATGCCCTGTTGGTGAGTCTGGGAACCTAGAAGTCACCTGTGCGTGTTCTGCTTTCTCCCTTGCACCTTCATGTGACCCATGGTGCTCAGATGTGGTCATTCTCCCTCCCCACCGTGTCCCCAAGCTCCCTCCTCCCTCCCTGCTGCCCTCACTTGAGACATCACTTTCCTTCTCTGCCGCAGCCTCCTTCCTTGTTCTTCCTGTGACAACTTTCAGTCCATTCTCCCCATATAAGCAGGGTCAGTAAAACAACAAAATGGAAACCCAGTCGTGCCCCTGCGTGCTGAAGCCTCCCGAGGGCTTTCACTGCACCAAGAATAAGGTGATAGCTCCTCCCCACTGCCACTGGAGCCCCACAAGACCTTGCCTGCCCGCCTCTCTGGCCCTGTCTTCACTGGGCCTCAGCCCTACTGGCTTCTCTCTGCCTTTGACCAGTGCTTCTCAAGCTGCCTCTGGGGAAGAACCAATATATTTTCTTTCATTTTGTAAAATTTGTGTAAAACAACAAAAAAATTGATTACTAGAAAAATGGCATGAAATATGAGACCAAATATTTTATTACAGGATTCAGCAGACATAAAACTCCCATCACATTGCTGCAAACATTTCTGGGTTCAGGCATTACACCAAGTCATGGGTCAGTCACAGCAGTTCAGTGCAATACTCATACTTTGAGTTGCAGTACTGTGGGACATTTCACCCTTAGGGCTCAGCTCAATCAACCTGCCTCAGTGAGACTGCCCCTGGTCACCACCTCCTGCCCCTGCCAACACTCTGTCTCACTACCTGAAAGTCTCCTGTTCACTGGTTTGCTGCTTGTGGTCTACTCCCCACCTACATATCCCAGGACCTGCACCCCGTAGAGCAGGAGCTGCAGTCTTATTTGCTGCCGAATCTCCATATCCCAGAATGGTGCCTGGCCTATACAGAGGATGTGCTTCACAAATATTTGTTGGCTGAAAGAGTGGAAGGATGGCTGGCTGGCTGGATGGATGGATGGATGGATGAATGGAAAGATGAATGGATGGTGGATAGATGGTTGGAAAGATGGGTGAATGGAAAGATGGATGGATGGTGGATAGATGAGTGGATGGTGGATGGATGGGTGGATGGTGGATGGAAGGATGGATGGATGCTTGGTGGATGGATGGGTGGATGGAAGAATGGATGGATGGTGGATAGATGGGTGGATGGTGGATGGATGAGTGGGTGGTAGGTGGAAGGCGGGATGGATGTTTAGTGGTGGATGTATGGTAGATGTATGGATGTATGATGGATAGATGGATGGGTGGATGGAGGGAAGAAAGGGAGGGAGAGAGGAAGGACAGGCAAAAGGCATGCTGAGACCACAGGGAAAAAGAACTTCCTGCGTTGACCTCAGAAGAGGCTTCTAAAAGAGATGATAAAGGAGTAGGCTCTTGAAGGAGTTTTCTGAATAGAACAGTTGAGTTCTGGGGTTGGGGCAAATGCGTGCTGAGAGAAGATCAGCATAAGCAAAGATACAGAAGGCTAACTGGCAGGGTTTACACATGCCACACATGAGGCAGAGGTTTGGGAAAACTCTGAGGGTCTCCATGGGTTGCGGAAATGGGGCCCTCTACTACTTTAAACAGTGGAGAATTGAGCTCTGCATCTGCCACGGTGATGCAATTCTGGGTTCTGCGCCCCATTTTGCCTGATCGAGTTACAATAAAACCCATTCTCTGTCTCCCCTCAACCCCTGCCATCCCCTCGTGGCTGCCTCCCTTCCTGCTCCTCTTCTTCAGCCACTCCATTCCCACTGACTATGCCAAAGGCCAGCTGTCAGGGCAGCCCCTTTGTATGAAGCAATACTATGGGCTCTTCTCCTCCTACCGGCTCCCCGGCCATACCCAGGACACGCTGGTGGCCCAGAACAGCAGCATCATGCCGGAGCCTGAGCACGTCATCGTAGCCTGCTGCAATCAGGTAAGAAGCCCCTTGTCTTGGTGAGGGAAGGCACAGAGCATGCAGTGGCCATGCATTCACATCCATTACCTTCTCCGAGGAGGCTCAGTCTTCTTCCCTGAGTCATACAGGGAGCTGGGGCACCATGTCTCCAAAATGCAGTCCCCACTTCCAGTCAGTCCCATGTCTCTCCACCAGTTGGCTTCTAAGAATGAGAGCCGTCAGTTTGAGAATATCCTCACTGGACTCTCACTTCAGCCCTGATGCCCTGAGGGTCACGATCCAGACCTTCCACCTACACATCTATTCTTTTCCATGCAGTCACCCAGGCCCTGGCCTTTCTGGAGACCACACACAGGCAGACAGTGTTACAGACTGACAAATAGGACCTTTCATGTGCCAGCCTGTGGGCTCGGCACTTAACATGCATTCATCCCACTTAATCCTCACAGTGACCCTGCAGAGGGGGCCTTAGGATCTCCGTGTGACAGTTGAGGACATGAGACTCAGACAAGTTAAGTGGTCTGCCCAAGAATGGGAAGGACTCCTAGGTCTGGCCAGTACCCCAAGGTCAAGGTCTACCTGCTGCAGCTCGGGTCCTCAGACTGGGTTCCACAGAGCCAACAAGGACCCATGGGTCCTGGGGGACAGGCTGAGCATGAGGGCTCCTGACCTCTTCCTTGGACCCACTGCACTATATATTCCATATATTGAGCTTCACATAAATATTTCCTCTGACAAACGGTTTTTGTTTTTGGTTTTGCTTTGCTAAAACCCAAGTTTGGCAGCCATCCCAGGGACCCCTGTGGTACTTGCTCTACAATGTGATTTTGGGCTCACCTCACGTTTTCAGTAAGTTGGGAGCTCTGTGGAGCCCTGACATCTGAGGGTGGCTGTGACCTCTTTTCCTAGATTTGAAGGCCATCTAGGAGCTCTTGTAGCCCACCTGACACCCTGGCCATAGCCCAAGGAAGTTTCCCCATCTTCATTCAAAAGTCAAGCCAAATATTTCCCAGTTCCCACAGGCCACCGTATCCACCTCTTCCAGACATGCTCTGGGACCCTGTACTGGACCAGGCCATAGAGACACTGCTAGGGAGTTGGAGGGGAAGGGAAAACAAGGTACTCATGTCAGTCAGCTGAAAAGGGTATCTTGACCTGGATCTAGGAATAGACCCTTCACAAAGCCTGAGGCTCTAGCCTTCAAAGCTACAAAATGATAGAACCACAGGGCTGACATACAAAGCACATGTAGGTACACATGTGAAGGCGCACACACACGCACACATGTGTAGGTGCACATGCACACATGGTGTGTGTTGGTGTTCCATTTTAATCTTCCTCTGCATATGATTGCTGGCTTGCTTTTTTTCCTCCACTCACCAGCGTGTTTAAGGCCCATCACTGTGGCTCTATCTATTGCTAATTCACTCTTTTCAATGGCTGGGTAGACATGCCTCAGACATATACACCACATTTCACTTAGCCATTCCCCTTCTGGAGAACAGTGAGGCTCTTGCTACCATTTTGCTGTTGCAAACAAGGTCGAGAGGCACATTCCTCGTGTCTTCTGGTACACACGGGTATGTTTCTCTAAGCCTCAGGATAAAATATGCATTTATAAGTGCAATTGCTTAGTCATAGACATGCACATTTTTAGTTTTGATAGACACTGCCCTCCAAGAGTAGCTGTGCCAATTTATCCTCCATTCCCCATAAACATAATGGATTCCGTGAACCATAAAAGCACATTTTCTTTCGGCTAAGTTTAATGTTGCCTTTTTTGATTGGGGGCAGCGAGGAATCCAGCACAGTCAACAGCCTTGGCTTGGTCCCTAAACTGAGACTGCTTAGAACCACCAAACACCTTGGGAACCTTGGGCCTGAGCATCCCTGTCCCAAGCTCACCTGTGAAGGCTGAGTGAAGGCCTGTTGCCACGGGTCACCCAACAAGTGACATGTTTGACCTGTTTACCCCACAGTTCTTTGTCTTGGATGTTGTCATTAATTTCCGCCGTCTCAGTGAGGGGGATCTGTTCACTCAGTTGAGAAAGATAGTCAAAATGGCTTCCAACGAGGACGAGCGCTTGCCTCCAATTGGCCTGCTGACGTCCGACGGGAGGAGCGAGTGGGCCGAGGCCAGGACAGTCCTCGTGAAAGGTCAGCCGCAGTGCCCAGCACATCTCCATGCCCATCTCATGCTCGTGCCCATCGGCTTTCCCCCCTCCAGGGTTGGGCCGGGGCCTCATCCCCATCAACCATAGTGCGGGAGCTCAGGGCCCACAGCATGTCCTGCAGCCAGCCACGGTGCCTTGCCACTGAAGGCACCTTTTATGCCTTCGTGTTCCATCTGACAGTATCTGGCTTTCTTGGTGGGACTAACTGGTGCTGGAACTAGGGATGTCTGGGAATATTGGGCGGGGCGGGGGAGTTAGCAGGGGGAAGGCTGGCTGCAAGTCAGCAGGTGTGTTTTCCTGGTGGGCGGCGCTCACAGAGTGGCTGGGGGAGCCCTCAGATGGGGGTGTGGGATGGAGCCTGCCTCCGGGAAAGTGTCTTTCACCTGATCTCTCCATCCTGGGACTCTTTTTCTTCAAGCTGCCCCTTATCTTGTGGCACTGTTCTTATGAAAGTGTCCAAGCATTCCCATAAGAAAGCCAGGAATATTCTTGAAAATTTCTCATCACCCTTCTGGAAACTACTTTTCAAATCCAAAGCTGGTCCTATTCCAGAAGCTGATGGAATGCCCTCCTTCCTTGCCCGTGGTAGAGATACTGGAATGAGAAGCAAGACTTCTGTGAGTCTTTATTTGCCCCTCAGAATTTTACTGGGCCAGGTAATCTATTCAGACTTTCCACATCTGTTACTGAGGGCCCTGGGCTTGGCCCAGGGAGTATGGGAGACAAAGGAGATGAGGCCTCAACCCAGGAGCAGCCCCGTGATGGGAACGGGAAGAGAGGGCACGGGGAGGAGACTCACATCCAGGGGCATGCAGTGCTGACCCACTTCAGACAGGCGTCAAAAACGTGCTCCAGGACTTCAGAGAGGGGAGGGAGCCCTTCCGAGTGGGATTGTGAAAGGCTCTGTTAGAAGAGGTGGGAATGGAACAAAGCCCCATGCCATGAGTGAGAAAGGCTGGAGGGAAGGATGGTACCCAGGCAGGCAGACCCACCCTGGGCAAAGCCCGCCGCCCAGCAGGGACACACCTACCTTACCCTCAAGGTGAGGAGGAGAGCAGCTGCCCAGTGAAGGTGGCCTGAGCCGGATGTACTGGGCCTAGCTGTCTGACAACAGCCACTTGCATTTTCTGGTCTCTCTCTAGAAGGGTCTTCCCCCAGATCCAGCTGGCTCCTTGCCCCATGCAGAGCTCAGCCCAGGTGTCCAGCCTCAGGCCCTCCTTGGGCATCCTTCCCACACACTCTGTCACTGTGGCCCATTCTCTTATCTTGACTCTGTTGCTCCCTCTCTGAGGACAGTTTTGAATTTGTTTGACAGATGCTGATTATTTGCCTTTCCCCTCACCTCCCACCCCCTGCCTATAGGTCAGAAGGACAGGGGCCTTGTCTGTTTGGTTTAATTTCTGAGAAACACAGTCGGGGCCCAGTTACATTTATTAAATAAAAGAGTGCAGGGTGATTAAAAATGCCAGGCCCCAGTCTTATTCCCCCACTTACCAATTAATTATTCTCTCATTCAATTATTGGGCACCTCCTGAATGCTGTCCTAAATAGGGGGCTGCAGGAGCCAAAGAGGGGTGTGAGAGCTGACTGCCCTCCCGGACCTAACCTTGTGCTGGAGAATTAATAACTTAGCATTCCGAAGTGAGTTAATTCCCTCAGGAGACCGTGGTGTAATCAAATCCCACTCTTCTCCCCTCCAGGGACAGAGACAGGCATGAAAATAATCGCCTCTGCCTCCAGCATAGTTTCTACTTTATTAGCAGGCCAGGCCCAAGACACACCCTTCAGGGCTGGCCGGATTGCCCTGAGGTCTGAGCACTTGGACTGCGGATCAGAATTGATTTGTTAATGGCACTTGATCTGGCTTTCTGAATGGAAGTGCTGTTTCTGAGGGAAATGCGACAGAAAGGAGGGGACACATGCACCTCCCCTTGGGTAATCTGATTAATCCAGTTAGCGTCAACTGTGTCATCTACACAACAGGAAACCAATTCTTCACAGATTCCCCCTCCCCAGAGCAGTCCTGCCTATGGAACAGAAACAGAGAGACCATTTACAAAATGATTTCGTTTTCCCAGTGAAAGAGTATGGTAGCTTGGGCCAGGGCTGAGAGTGAAGCTGGAGAGACCAGTGGGGTCAAGGCCATCGGAAGCGAGAACAATTCCTGGGCTTTTTATCCAAGCCATGAGTGGATGTTGGTGCCTTTTAGTAAGATGGGAAACAGCGTTGGGGAGTGGGTGCAGGATGGAGAAATCATTGCCACACATGTTGGGCTCGAGTTGCTTGAGTCATCTGGGTGGAGACATCAAGCTTGATATATATGTTTGGAACCCAAGGGAGAGGTCAGTACAGAGCTATAAATTTGAGAGCCATCAGCACATAAATGATCCTTAAAGTCATGGACCTGGGTGAGATAATCTAGAAATAGAAGAAGAGGGGGCCTGGAGGTCAGGTAGAGAAAGATGCAAAGGGGATTGAGAAAGCAGCCCGTGAAGTAAAGGAAAGCCAGAAGAGTCAGCGATTCAAGACAGAGGGAGCGGCCAGCCACGTGGAATGCTCTGGAGAGCTCGAGGAGGAACAGGACACAGAAGACCCGGTTTGGCAACCCTGAAGTTGTCACTGGGCTTACTGAGGGTCAGACTGGAGTAGCAGGAGAACAAATGGTTGCACACTGACAGAAGTGGTCCAACAGCAGAAAGAAATTGTCGATGAGGCAGTCAATGAGTTGAACCAGGGAGTATGGTTGACTTTTTCCAGACATTTTGATACTAAAAGGAGCAGAAAAACGAGCGAGTTGCTGAAAGAGGACGAGGGTCAAGGGGGGTGTTTTTAGGAGGAGAGACAAATGTATGGAAGGAATTTAGTAAAAGAAATTGATGAAGAGATAGGACATAAATGGAGGGGTGGAATTCTTGCAAAGGCAAAAGGAGATGGAACTCAGAAAATAAGAGGCCTTTGGTTGGTACAGGGTGAAATAGAAAGCTTGGGCCTGAGGCTGCAGAGGTAGGGGCATGCAGAGGCTCCCAACTGGTACCTCCTGGTCTCAGATCACTACCTTGAGATAAGAGGCAGGGAGTTGGATTCTGAAGACAAAATCGAATGTGTGAAATAGCCTCTTGCAAAGTGGGAAAGAAGACTTGAAAAACTTGATAAAATTTATGGACTATGTTGAGCTCATATATGAAGGTTCAAAGTGATACATTTTAGGAGAGGCTAATTAACATTGTTATGTGATCTTCCCCACCAATGCTCAGCTCCTCAGGTTAAGCCAGAGTTGGTGAGTGAAACTGGTGGGGATGGTGAAGGTGTGGCAGGGAATGGTCATGCTGGAATCTGAGCTGAGTAAGGAAGTGTGTTCAAGTCTGCTCAGGCAGGTTCAAGTCTGCTCAGGCAGCCATAACAAAGTACCACAGACTGGGAGACTTCAACAACAGACACTTGCTATCTTACAGTTTAGCAGGTGGGTTTCTCCTGACGCCTCTCTCCTTGGCTTGTGGATGCCACCTTCTCCCTGTGTCTTCCTGTGGTCTTCCCTCTGTGCATATCTGCATCCTAATCTCTTCTTATAAGGTGACCAGTCATATGGGATTGGGCTTCACCCAAATGGCTTCATTTAACTTGTCTCTTTAAAGACAATTTGGGACAATCAAGACAATCCCATCTCCAAATACAATCACATTCTGAGCTTCTGGGAGTTAGGACTTCAACACAGGAATTTTGGAACGACACAATTCAGCCCATAAGAGGAATGAGGTGACAGACAGGGTAGATGACAGATGGTGAGAGCATAACAGGGCCAAGGGGTCTGGCTGTCTCAGTGACATGAGATGTATTCAGTGGGTATCAGAGGATGTGAACTAGAAAGTCAGGAATATGGTCAGAGTGTGAGATGCTTGGAACTGAGACTTTAGAGGTGGTGGGCTCCTGGTAGGGAGAAGTTCCCAGATGTGATATTGGCCATGGGCGCAGGGGTGAAACTGTCAAAGGTGTGGAGGTGGTGGAGCTGGGAGAAGATGGAGTCTGGGTGTCCACATGAATGCTCATGTTACCATAACGATGATTCCAGTAGCATGGGGGAAGCAGGTGAACTGAGAGCCCAGATATTCATGATGGGGACCTAGGAAGAGATGGGCGCAGCACAGAAACAAGGGGGATGATGGTGATGGGGGGTAAAAGCCTAACAGCTCCAGCTCCAAAGCAAAGTGGGATGAGGGAGGGGGAGTTGTTTAAAAGCAGCAACAGGGAGAAGGAAGCTGTCTACCCCACCTGGCCCTGGGGTGCATGAGTGTGAAGGAAAACAACAGCGTGCTTGAGAGGGTGGCAGGGCAGTGGGCACCGCAGGGGAGCAGCCCCTCGGGAAGTGTCACACTGCAGTTGAGGCAAAGTTAGGCGGGACACCTACAGAAGAGTTTAGCCATGCAGGGGAATGGCCTGTTTGAGACAGGCATGAAGGGCTCCAGAAGGAGGAAAGGAGAGGTGTGAGGACCGCGTGCACTTAGGGGACACGTGGCCTGGGGAGTGGGGTGATGGGGGAGCCAGGGAGCCCCCAGAGTGGTTGCCCAGCTGTCTCTGTTGGGGCTTAGGTGCTTTCTGACCCACAGCAGTATCCTGATTAACTCCATGGAATGGGTTGGTCTATTTTAGGGGAGCATAGCTCCCAACCCTCTCAGCTGAAGCCCTAAGATCCTGCCCCCACTTCCTGGAGCCTGGGTACAGGGACAGTGCCCATGGGCACAGAGTCCAGGCAAGCACTTGCTGGCAGGAGGCCTTGGCCAAGCTGAGCTCCTCTCAGCCTCGTGGGGGCCCAAAGCACCAGGCTACACAGGCTAAACCAAAGCAGCAATTCAGAGTCCTGAGGGGCTGGGAGGCCACGTCCACAGAGGAACTTGGGGCTAAAGCCAGGTGTGCTGAGGCCAGTGTGACTCAGCCCTGATTGCAGACTGGGGTTGGATGATGACATCAGGATTGTCTAGGGCATTCCTT